TAAAATGGTTTAGAGCTTATTAATGTGATTTATATCTATATTAGATGAATAAATTACATTATTAATTCTCACTTATATCGGCTATAAATTAATAAATCTGATTAATAAGAATAAATTATAAATTGTTAATGTAAATAAAAATAAACGCAAACGTGACACAAAATACTTTTTGTGTTCAAAAAAGGGTGTAGTCGAACCTTTAATATTAGGAAATATTTGCTCGTTTGGTGATGTATCGGTGACTTTTCTGATTATTTTCTGCACCTACAAACAATGTCTTCATTTAAAAAAAAAATACTTTTTTCTTTTTATTGTCACACTTCATTCCGGCTTTTAGTTTCCTTTTGAAAGATTCACTGCTCAATGTGGTTGAAACTTTATTAATAGGGCTTTAAAGAAACCCCTTTTCTGTGTTGTCTTTGCCATTTTCATTTTACTAGGTGTTTTCTTCAATTTCTGGTAAGATTGTTCGGGAAAAAAATTGCAATTTTCAATTTTCCATGCTCGTTTATCTATTCAAAAAGGGTTTTTTCTAAGCGAATGTAAATTGAACCTTGAAACATTTGCTCCTTTAGTTACACAAGGTTACTGTCGTTATTGTTTTCTGCAGCTACATATATTGTTTTCATTTTTTTCACTTATTTTACTAATTTTTTTATCACTTTGACACATTAAGTTTAGTCCGGCTTTTAGTTTTTTTTTAAGGTTCACTGCTTAATGACGCACTGCTTAATAAAGATTTTACTACTACTTTAAATCGACTCATTTTCTTTCTAGTCTTGTTATTTTCATTTTACTGGGTTTTGATCAGTTTCTCGAAAGTTTGGCCAGGCAAAGCAAAATTGCGATTTTCAGTTTGTCCTGCTCTTGTTTTTCTAATCAAAAAGTCTTTTCTCTACGCGAATGTAAGTTTAATTTTTTATATTAAGAAACATTTACTTCTTTATTAGCATAAAGGTGACTTTCGTGATTGTTTTCTGCACCTACACACATGTGTTTCTTTAGGAGACTTTATGGTCACATTTTGATTTCAAAGGGGCTTTTGCGATTCTTTTCTAGGCTTCACCACTTAATGAGGTTTTAGCTTAAATAAAGCAACAACAAAAGAAAAAATTGCAATTTTCAGCTTTTCTTACCCTCGCTCGAACATGTTGACTGGAAAATTGCTACAAGGTACCGAACATTTCTCTCTGTCCTTAATTGGAATACTACTTTTTTACGGACTAACTAGTCAACTAAACATCCTTAGTTTTACTTTCGAAGTCTGAAATTCTGAAAAGCGATTTAAAAAAATAATGTTTCAATATAACAAACAATTTTAAAAGACCAAGCAAAGATGTAAACATCTCTAAAAACCCAATTTGAATTACATTAATTAAAAGCTCCTTGTGAGTGCTAAATTTTCAGTGGAAGCCAGCATATTCGCCCACAGTTCTACATAACAGAACTCCATTTTCTTAAGCGTGTATATCATAAGAAAAGTCTATCTATCCTCTCGTTGAATTTTTGGTTGCTTTTTCCGATTTTTACCAGCATCGAGCATACATTTTCGAGTATTTTTAAACCTCTGACAGCATTTTTCATGTCTTGTCCGTTCGTAAGTGTACGAGAAATGCTTCAGGCGCGACATCATTCGCCTTTCATCGTGATTCATTACGTTTTATTTTATGTCGGTTTATTTTTAAGAGTTGTAAACTGTGGCATTTTAACGCTGCATACATTTAAATATACGGATTTGATAGGGATATCATATGCACGATAACCTCAGTATATCGCAAAAACTACTTGAACAATCTGGTGGCAAAGGCGAGAAAGTGATAATGAGAATGACTTTGTTTTTTCTTCAATTCTTTAACGGTTACAAACGGTTGAATTCAAATCGCCGCCGATAATAAACTCAAGATAAACATGTTACTGTTTGTAAGTAACGCAGTTAGTAGCTCTCTAACAATTGCAAAAATAAACTCAACTTTTCCATTCGTAATTCATTTGTGTTGTGCCATTACTCATACGAACCTTAATAAGAAACGCACGTATTCCCAACTTCCCATGAGGTCACTGCTTAATGCAGCCGATTCTTTTACAGGTTGGCTGAACCTGAGGTTTGAAACAAAACAAGTCCGCTTTTGTTCCGAAATAACTGTTCATTTTCTTCCCAATTTGGCATAGTTTTTCGAAACTGTCCACATTAAATAGAATGGCATAGAATATTATAACCGGATTAGGCTCTTTCGATCAAAAATTATTGTGAAAGTCCAAGATCGATTATAACGGCAAAAAGTGCATCGAAAGTTTCAACAATGACACGATCCATCAACGTTAACAATAAACTATCTATAAGCAGAAATGCACGTCGTTCATGATGCATTTTTCTGCTCAATATGCATGTCATCCATCATGGGCCTCTATTGCAGTACGTGCAGGTATGCATTTCAATTTTTGATGTCTTCAGCTGAACCGTTACTTCGTCTTTGCGTTAAAAAGCTCTTCAATTATCGAGCGAGTAATGAGGGGAAATGACTTATCCATTAAGCATAATATGAATAGGAATTAAAAATGGCCCATTCAAATGGAAAACATACACACGAAAGTAGGGCCTTCCTGTTGTTTCTGTTGTTGTATGCAGCTCCAGGAAGCAAAAAACGCACATTTACAACATTCTATTTTAAATACGGGTATGGTGAATGGCAAATTTAATCAAAATATGTTAATCAAAGGTTAAAGAGCTTCAACGGTCCTGGTAAACACAGACTCCACAGTTTATTTTAGTTGGTTTTAACCGGCGAATTGTTTTGGTTCAATGTGGCTATTTTTAACTTTCCGAATTAGTGGTAATTTGTCTTAATCGGCGCAGGCTCTTATATTGTGGAACTTTTGAGCGAAATGTTTGAATTTAAGTTTTTTAGGCAACTTCCCGCAATTTGTTTATTTCAGCGAATTTTGAAGCCAGAATTTTATTTTTAACCAGGCATCCAGCATATATGGAAAACTTAAAACCTGGATATTCGAATATTGAAGGGAACTGAGATTTATGCCAGCTACTTGCCGTTTTTGAGCCATTTTATACAAAAAAAAAATTCCAAAAAGATCTTCAATGAATCTTTAGGTTAAATATCATATTTTCGAAATTTTGCACTCTTCTCACTTTTTGATTTTTATTTTTTTTATTGCGTAGTAATACATATTCAACTGTTTCTCTGAGTTACCATGTCTAATGCGAGTTTTTATTTTATTTGAAAGTCAAATTTACTCCAATTCTCCAATAGTTGCCAAATGCCAATAAATTTATATTTTTATAAAATTTTCGCTGACAAGCTTTGTACTGTTGTTTTAGTCTCTTAGTTTCTCCTCTCTTTTATAAATTAGGTAATCAAATTCAGAATTTAGTAGAGAAAGCTTTGTACTTCTTACGCTGCATTCACCCTGTCTGTGTGTTTGGTTGTATTTTTAAAACGTTTACATTCAAAGTTCGAATAGCGAAGCTTTTCTTTATTTTAAGTAATTTAATTGAAGACTAAACATTGAACTGTTGCTTCGCCACGAAAATTGTGTTTGCACGTTTTTCTTGCCATTTTAGCTCACAGAAGGTTTGCACTGTTTAATTTCTAAACACTCTTAGTTGCTTTAGCAAAATTTTCAACATCTGGTTATCAAAAATTGGGTACTTGAAGTCACAACGAAAAATTGTATCTTACGGAATATTTACTATTATCAATATTTACTCATGTTAATAATCCAAATAATAAAGTTATAAAACCTCTACAAATACATACTCTTTATAGTGCAATCACCCTGCAATTTATGAAAAATATCCGTCAAAATTTCAAAAACGTCTTAATTTTCTGGCATTTATTCGAGAAAACTTTGGAGTCTTTATTTTATTTTATTCTACAGTTAATCTTTATGCTGCACAGAAGCAAGATTTCACATATTTTTATAAGTGGACTATTAATTGCTAGACTATTTGTAGGCTTGTTTTCACAAAGTTGGAATAGCAAAAACTGTCTTATTTGTATGATTTTATATCTGCCTTTATTTCTGCTGCCTTCTTTGACCTTGTCTGCTGAACTTATGTTTTCATAATTTTTTTTCTAATGCAGCTGAAAGTTACTAAATTGAGATGAAGCAAATGTAATATTGAAAGTATTTACTAGCATCCGCGCTTCATAAACTAAATTAATGAAAAATCAAAATCACAAGATGAAGCAAAACAGAACAAACAATATAAAGTCATTCATTTAGATAAAATGAATGATAAATGAAAATGAACTGTTTTAAAAGGCGTTTGAACTCGCTAAACCCTTATACATATAAGACACAGTTTCACATTTCCACACATAGCCACGCAGCTAAATAAAATCTGTACAATTTCTCGTGTTATAGTTATGTATTTATTTTATCTGTTGTTCTTATTTTATTTATATATACGTATTCTGTATTTTTTATATATGTATACATTTATCAGGTATAAACACATTGACATCATTTTAGTCCTGTATTTAGCCAATTGTTGATTTTGTTTCTAGTCAATTTAAACTATTTAATAACAATTTCCACCAAAGCTAAAGCCTAAGCCTAAGAAGCTTTATCCAAAAGTTCTCAGATTATAGATTGGTTAAAATTAGAAGGGAAGCTGAGAAAAGTCAAAACCTGGGGGGCACGTCGAACAATTACTTGTTTGTGGTCTATTTTAATTAATAATCAAAGTCTTAAAGCAATTTTTATTGGAAAAGCATATTGCTGCTATGCAATAATTTGGCAATTATTGTTTTTGAAAAAATAATTGAAATTGCATGTTTTGAACCAAATTAGGTCCGACATACAGAATACGAATTGTTTAATAGTTTGATCTCGGCTCAAGAACTTTTCAGAATGATGGCAAAGTACATTTTTTATCAGCTTTTTGAACTCCCATTAATAATAAATCACTGTATACAGTTAAATGTAATTTGCAATCGTTTTATCTTCTCTGTTCTTTAAGGCGTAAAAGTAAAATGCCATATTATTCATTTATTTATTTTTTGATATGGTTTTTTGCTGGTCATGTATTATAATTTTTTCTGCAACTGCACTAATTCAATCAGTTACGGTTTGTGAAATTTGTGCAACTTTGACCACATTCTTATTCTTTGTTATGCAGGAAATAAAATAATCTGCATATTTCGTTCATAACCAGTGTAAGTCTCTAACTGGGAATGTTTTCAGTAAAATGAATCTAACGTAACTCAGTACCAAATGTTTCCTCAACTGGTTTTAAACATTTTTGATTAGTCACTGGTTCTTGGTAACTTCTCAACATTTTCCGGTGTGTGTCCTAAAAATTTTGCGTTTCAAGTACCCTCATAAGAAATAGTCCATTGGTGTTAAATCTGAAGACCTGGGAGGTCATTCAGTGGGTTTTCCTTCCTACCAATTAATTTGCCTGAAAATTTACCATCCAGACACTCAATGGCATGACTTGCATAATAAGGAGGGTTTTGTTGAATCCAAATCTTTCCTTTCGGGACATCGGCTTCATTCGGATCAAAATATTCAGTTCCATTCCGTTTTCCTGCTTACACTTCCTGTCCAAACATTGGCTTCCGGATGTTGACTGTATCCTTCCCTTATCCAGTGCGAGTTTTTGTCTGCACAATAGGGACGATTTTTCAAAATTTAGTTCACCATTTAACATAATTCGTTGATTCGTCAGAAAACAGACATTTCTGTCAGGTAGATTCATCATTTGTTCGCATACCTGGAGTCTTATCCGGATCATTTCCGGTAAGGTCCTGGAGAATTGTTATTTTAGGACGAGATAGGTTTGGGTTTTAATGACGTTAAGTTTCCTAAATAGCAAGTACCTACATTCATTTTGCCAGCAACATTGGTTAGCAAGAGTTGAGTACACCAAACTGGAGTCTTTTATGCGTACTATTTTCAGATCCGGGCAGATATTTGTTTGAGAGGGATACAATTTTGGGGTTTTAAAGACGCTAAGTTTCCTAGATTTCCTGGCCTAGTGGAGAAATGAGGATTGTCTTGAACAGAGAAAAGTACATTAATTTTGACATCTTCATTAGTTGCAACAGTTGAGAGCACTCTGACCATAATTATTGGCGCAGCCTCAATGGTTTAAGACCCCAAAAAAGAATTAGCCGCTGAACAACATGGAAGTTTCCTCCTTTAAAGCTTTCTCCAAATTTCAATTTTTAGATGAAAACGATTTGAGAAATATTTGGCAATCGCACGAATTTCCCCGAGTGCAAACTTGTATTTGGCCCAGTGCTAGGAAATTCGTAAACAAACATATAAATAAATAATACAATTGAATAATTGCCAGGTTTTGGCCGATGAATTGAACAACTTTCAGTCTGCTTGGCAACTCGTCAACATTGTCGCCTCTTTGGAATATTTTCCCGGCAAGTGTTTTTCACTTTCAAAACAACAACATTTACATCGTAAAATAAATGAACAATGACTAAAATCGCTACTTTCAAGTGCAAAACCGGGTCAATTCAGTCGAAGATCAGACAATAATCTCATGCCGGAGGAATTCTTTGCGACAGTCCACCACCTGTGGATTATTTACAGCGAACGGTGACTAAACGGGGTTTATTGAACCGCAGGTTTTACGGTTTATAACCAACCAATATATATTGTCATGGCGAGTACCCATGAAGGTTCTTTGCCAAAATTCTCTAACCCCATGCATGTTCGAATCAAGAGCTAAGTTGATGCCATATGGCCACTACATACCGAAAACGACTTCTTCGGCCATATGTCGTTGTCACGTCCCACCACAAACGCCCCTTAACGAAAGTGTCCAATAAACCATACTTACGACTGCTTAAATCTATTTATACGAATTTTATTCCTTCTTTTGTGCCTCGATATTTATAACCATTTTTCACACTGGTAGACTGTCTGTAAAGCGCCTCCTAAGCTTTGTTTAAGAGCAAGTAGTAACCGAGTAACCGTAACTCCTTCAGCTCTTCTGTTGCTATTTTTACGCGAAGGCCCTGAAGGAGGAGCGTCTGGAAATACGAGCGACTCGATCAAATTGCAATTTAAGTTTCCAGCCATTAATAAGCGGTTTCCACTTTTAACAAGATTATTCCAGGAATAATGCCAAAGTGTGAATGGATGTAACGGAAAAGCATCATTCAGCAAGAGCTTGTGGAATTTGGGTTGTTTTATTTACTTTGTTCATAAACATTTTGTGCTTGCTTGCATTTTTTAAACTTCTTTTTTTAGAACTGAAATCAATCAACTGAAATATTACCGATATATGCAAGTTGGTGTTGGTATAAGGCATAAGTTTCAGCGCAGAAAACATTTTTTTATATAAAACACCATCTATTTTATCAATTTTTTTAATTCTTATGCAAATTTCAACTATTTTTTGTTATGAAAGAAAAGTGGAAAGTATTTTAGTTATTGGGCTTTACGGAGATAAAAAGTCGCATTTTTATTGCGTTAAAAAATCGAAAATTTCTCCGTTGTCATTAGGCGCAAAATTTTGAAATTTGTCAGGAGGAAGGTCTCTGAAACTACAAAGTTTTCATAATTATCGTCCAAATTAACCTATTTTCAAGCTCAAAATCTCGCTTTTTTAAATGACACCCCGTATAATGTTAGTATTTTTTATTCAAGATAAGAAAGCTCTTCACAATAAGAAGAAGTTGGTGTGTACACACTGGATGAAAATCAATCAAACAAGTTTTATGTAATGAAGTGTGTATGTAATTATATGCACACTTCATTACATAACACTTGTTTGATTGATTTTTGAAAGCTTTACATTTAGGTTAATTAATAATAATAAGTTTAATTCATGACAGTCATCAATTTCAATTATGTAAGCAATTTTTTGTCAAGCTTATCGCTATGCAACATTGCAGTAAAAATAATTGAGAAATAAAAATAAAATAAATATAACGGAGCCATTTAGCAAAACCGAAATTTCTCGAAAATGATAAAAGTATTGGTGGTATTTAACCAAAATTAAAAGTTTTCTTGTCTTAAATGAATAACACTAACAATATACGGGGTGTGCCATTTAAAATAGGTGAGATTTTGAGCTTAAAAATACGTTAATTGGAACGATTATTATGACCGCCTTGTAGTTGAAAATATATTTTTTTGAAACATCTAATACTTTTATTATTTTTTTATTTATAAATTTGAACAATTAATGTGGTAACAATAATATTTTCTTCTGCCAAATTTCCAAATTTTGTGTCCATAGAGGTCGGAGACATTTTCGATTTGTCCACACCATGAAAATACGAATTTTCATTGTTAAACCTGAATAACTAAAAAACTGTGCAATTTTCGTTCACATTTTATATAATAAAAAGCAATTGACATTTAGATAACAATTCGGAAATGAAATAAAATATAACGTGTTCTATTAGGAAAAAATGGTTTCTGCAACTTTTCTGACGCACTTTTCGACTTCTCTGATACAAAATGACCATGAAAATTTTGAAACAAATAATACTAGTGTTAATCGTAAACTTACTTTACTCTGTCGTTGGGACACCCTGTAGTTTTTGTAGTTGCATTTGCCTAGATGTGCTTCTTTCTTCCAACTTCGTTTTCTTCTAAAAAGTATGCACAAATCCACTGAATACACACGTTTTATAGGAACATTCTAAACACTTAACCAACATTACTAAGCAAGCATCTGCTTTTGTGTTTTATAAATTGTTAGTTTTTCCAAAATAACTTCTGTAGTTTTAAACGAGTTTTCTGCTTTTCTCATTGCTGCAATATCCATTATCAATTTTTTTATCTTCAACTGCGGCTTTATTGTTCGATTTATAAAAAGAAGCAGGTAATCAAGATAGCAATTAAGTTCAGATTATGGGTTTGGATTGGATCATGTTCGGCATGTTGAATTAGCTTTGTGTTGTTCGTTTGCGCCGTTTAAAAGCGAACTTTTTGTGGTTTAAAGTTAAAATGTAGTTGGATGCGAGCGAATGGAATAAAATAGGACACACATTTCTTTTAAATGTAGCAACTACAATACATAAACATACATATGGATGTTGAAATAGTATACCTACCAAAAAATTTACTGCTAAGAGACGCTGTTAAAAATAATTTTTTTTTAATTACTAAAATCCTTGGTGTAATATGATTATTTTTTATATGATTGGTACTAGTTAAGGGACCTTAAAATAGCGCCTTTGAAACTCATTTTGCTGTTTGACCTCGCCTAAGACCAACCTGATTGTGCTCACAATTTCGGGCTAAATTTAAAAGATACATAAAATCCTTAAAACTAAACACTGATCAAAATGTTGAGACAGTTCGCCAATCTCATGCGTAAATTTTTCAATCAATTTACGGTTTTACTGTTTGGCATCGATAAAATAAACCATTTTCTAGGAAAATGTCTTTAAAATCCAGGATTATTTAAGTCGATTCCGTGTTCGAGTCCGTGTTTTGCTTACCACGCAGGCAGGAAAGACAATTTTAACCGTTCATTAACGCCTTCGATCATGTTCACCGCGGATGTGAGCGAAACGTCAGAAACAATTCCAATGGTTCAGGACTGTTTATTTTTTGGAATGCAAATACGATAAACTTGATAGCCTTTTTCTGTAGGAAATAAAGATTATTTGTATGCAGGGTGATTCAAAATTGGCGTCATTCCTTTTAAGGGGTGATAGAGGGTCCCTTGGGGAGTACGAGAAAAATATTGAAAATTTTTTTTTAGAAGATATTATCAGTGGAAAATCGAATTTTATCTTTGTTATTAAGCATTATTCTGAAATTGTTCCATGTTTAATTGGTAGCATATTGGAACAATTAAGCATTCAAAAAGAAAAATTACGATTTTTGCTTCAAATTACGGAAATTGTTGATATCTTCAAGGGTACTCAGAGCACAATAACTGACACTTTCCCAAGCACCAAATAAATACCGAGGAAGGGCTACGTTCCTACCACTTTTGTACGATACACACAGCACAAGGAGATACAAATGGAGCAGGAGTTAATTAACTGAATACGAGAAGCTGCTTAATAAGAGTGGATAATAAGGAGATTACACAGGCACTAGCTTCTTTGGAGTTAACCATTCAAATGTTTGGTGTTGTATGATTTATTTTTAAACACCAATATTCGAGGTTATGAGAACAGGTTGACATTTCGTCAACAAATCTTGTTGAATTTATCGTTTATCTTTGTCTATCTTATTGCCAGTCTGTATAATTCCATGGTTACCGGAGTTTTAAATAAGTACGAAGCAACAGGTATTTGAAAAACATTGCTTACCGATTTACCTTAGATTACCTTGAAAAACATTGCTGCCGTATTTCTGATATAGTTTTTTTTCTTTTACTATTTTTCCTGTACTCCTATAACAGCGCCAGACAACACCTCCAGAGGAATGACGCCAATTTTGAATCACCCTGTAAATATATATATATTGCGTTTTAGGCAAGTGCTACAATAAACAACCATGCAACTAAATTTTTCTTTCAAAATTTCTTTACATGTATCTTTAACTCCCACATTATGCAATCTTCGTCTTTGGGCGATAAAACGCGTGTTTTTCTTGTTTCGAATTATTGTTCTTCCGCTTTTTCTCTTGATATTTTCAGCTTCATTTTATCATTTAGATCATACATCATCAGACACTCTCTGTTAGAAGGATTCTAACCGATTTCATTGTTTTCTGGTTGCTTCTTAACATTGCTTTGGTGCCATATCTTTCCTATTCCGTTTTAAATTCTGTATAATTTTGCTATATCCTGGACTGTTTGTTCATATTCTTCTATAACAAACATGTTCTTATTTTCACATGTTTATTCCTTTTTCCCTGTTTAATAAAAACACGCATTCTGTCGCATCGTCG